ATCCCTGGATCTCCGCTATTTAGTTTAGTTTAATTACGTTTATGATGATGATGTTAAGGTCCATTGAACATCTACCTTGTTGGCTTCGGGTCATGTTCACTGAACCTTAACAACTATCAGTATAAATTAGGATTAGTTCTCATTTAGGTTTAGTTTACTTCAGTCCCTGAAGAAGGTAACTTTGTTACCGAAAAGTGCTTCGGACAACTACAGTGTCGTGTTTTGGCGTTGGGGTTTTGAGCTATTCTGTTTGTTCTACAACAACCGCTAAAGTTTTTCCAATCTTCATATTAGAAAGAATATGATTAACAAGAAGGTAAAGGGTCACAACTAATGTAACTTTTTATTGATAACTCGATTAGAATAGTTTGACGTTACATTCACTAAATCCTCTAATGCATCATTGATGTAAGCATCTTCTACTGTATTTGTTCGTCAACAACCTGTTCTTTTCTTTTAATAATAAAACTTATAAAAATCTGCCACTTTTACAATTTCCTTTAAGAAATATACATTCTTTAAATACTTGCCGTCTTGAATTTTATCGTTCGAGTCTCTCATACAGAGACTGTGAGAGATCCATAAAAACGCCTAGGCAATAACTGAGAAACTGTGAGAGACGCTTTCAGAGACACTGAAAGACTCTGGAAGACTGAGATATTGGAGAGAGACTGAAAATTTTTGTCTAGGGATATAGTGTGGATACATTATTTTGCTATATTCACAGTTTTAGTAGTTAGATCGCAAAAATACACAAATAAGTAATTTTTTAGGAGACTGCTGCAACTTAACACTAGTCTGTAACGTAAAGTCGATCTTTAGTAGACGATTTTTAATTTATTCCACATTTTGTGATGATTTATCCTAAGCTATATCCTCTTCAATATAATTTGACAACTTAAGGTAATCCAGTATAGCTTGTGGCTTTTATTTATGCTCATTTATTTCGTTTCTATGTCTGCATGCGTATTTACAATATTTAAATCACTTTTTTCAAACTATTCTCAGGGGGCATTGCCATTTACAATTTTCCAGTTTTTTATTTTATCATTTTCCACAAGTACGTATTCCACTTTTTGCTGAACAATTCATTTTAATTGAGCAGGTAAATATTTGCGTATCATAGTTCGTGAGTCGCCGTTCCTATATCGCCGCGCCGCGTCGTGCTGCACCGCAGAAAAACCGGAACATGTTCGTGAAACCTGGATTTCCGATGACGTCGCATCGTCATCTTCGATATATATTTAAAGTCTCTCATCTTTAACAGCAAAACTTGAACAGCACTTTGTCTTGAAACCGCTACACGGTTAAGTTGTCGCATTACAAAATGAATTGCGGTTGTATTGCCCCAACGTACGGTCCATCTCTGGCTAACACTTGCGGAGGCGGTTCGTTCGTGGTGTTCATGACATTGGTGAATAGTTTTATCACAAATCAGTGCGACATATCCGAAGTGTGCCAAAGAGTTATACCGCGAAGTCAGCCAGAATGTGAGTACGACTTCGTGGTAATTGGGGGTGGAAGTGCTGGAGCTGTGGTAGCCAGCAGGCTCTCTGAAATACCCGAATGGAAGGTTTTGCTAGTCGAAGCAGGTGGAGATGAACCCCCGGGTGCTCAGGTAAGATAAAATATTTAAAAAAAAAATCCGTAGGGTGGACGAGTAGCTACTCTCGATGTTTCATTACTAAATGCAACCCTTGAGGTATAACAATGGATGCACCTCAACTTCCGTCCAAATAATTTCTCGCCACATGTGCTACTTGGATTCTATGCCTTAACTCCCGTTCAAACGAAATAACAATACCTTCCTTGATTACTTTAATTTAATATTAAAAAATTATGGAAATTTCTTCCCGGAGTTTCGTCTGCAACTGCAGCAGGCAATTTCAAGGGTAGCATGGTGGTCGTTTTGATTGAAGTTCTCTCGAAGGTCGCTTGGTGAAACGCCGGAGACTGAGATGCGACGCATCGAAAGAAATTGGGTCGAGACGACCACGATGCCACCCTTGAAAATGCCTGCTGTAGTTGCAGGCTGTCAGACAACCCGAATTTAACAACGCGACGACCGCGAAAGCCTACATAAATTCACTTCAATTGTTTTCAGTCAGCTAAATGATGATATGATTTTAATATAGGTAAAAATTATAGAATATTTATGATTATGAAGTACTTTGCTTGGGTTTACTTTCTTATTAATTAATTCCTCTTAAACTTTTACTAACAATTACTACATCATTAAATGTGGATCGCGATTTCTATCTTATTATTAACTTCCCATTAGGAAGTTATTGTAATTGGGTCGAAAAGTGAAATCGGAATTTTCATTATATTTCCACGTTTTAACATATTAGTAGCATGCTAGCCAATTTTTTTGATGATGTGTGTATGTACGTACGTACGTACGTACGTACGTAC